CGAAAGGCTAACACTAACACTCCAGAGTCCAGAGCGTTAAAGCCCCTTGACACTAAATTACGGGCTGACCGCAGAAAAAAACCCTACGTCAAAACAGCCGCGATGATTCAGCGAGCGTTAGCGTTAGCCTATCGAACAGGGCCGAGGTCTTCCCTGGACTGGAGAATGGAGACTTGGGGGGATCGAGCATTCCTCCAAACCCCATACGCTTCCTTTGCCCAGACACCCTATATGGTTTTTTATTCGACTTTACGGGCACCCTGACATTACAGGTCTAACAATAAATACGGTAATCAGAAAGCCAGACTCGCGATACTCACACTTACAGTAGGATTGAGTGGGAAATCACTTCTGATATGTTTGTACTTCCGAAAATCACGCAAAAAGAGTGCGTCTTTATAATCCCAAGAACTCGAATCTTGATGCTAACCACCTTCGAAATCAAATTTGATGAGGAAGGTTACCCAGGGGCGTGAAGAAGTATCGTAGTACATGTCATACTGTTTTTCCAACGCTAGATGCTAAGACAAGTCAGCCGCGCACGGGGACGAGGGCAGGTGAAGCAAGATGAGCATTCAGTGACGCACATGATGATCCAATGAATATATATCACGCAGCTTGCAGATCGGGAGAAAGAAAACGTGTGGGTGGTTGGAGGTACGCGCACAAGGAAATGCGCAGAGCAAACTCTGCAGATCCGTAGTGTATTATGCACGGATGGCATCACAAAAAATATTTAAAAATCAATTAGAGTACATATCAAAACTCTGAACCGTGCCTGGGACAGGAAGGCAAAGAGCTGTACAGTTTTGAACCGGTGGGAAAGTCTAGACGGTGCACATCTGAAACCCTGATGCGTGCCCGTGACGAGGAAGATAAGAACAGGATTCAACTGACGGGATTGGCTGACCACTTGCGCTTGTCCACTGTCCGCACAAATTGTTCCACCACCCCTCCCCCACCAGTGTAAACCAGAAGCACAAAACCAGCCCATTTGGGGTTGAGCAACAGAAGCTGAAATTGTGTAGTGGCAATCCATTCAATCTTTCTAGTTTGTTCAGCAGCCAGTTGCACCAAGGTCCGAGTTCTGTTAGTATTACTACTACTAGTAGGCGACTCATAGTTATTACGGTATCCCGCTCGAGCCACAGGGCACACCGTGAGTGTGAGTGCTCCCCGTGGTGGCAACAGTCGGGCGAAATACTGGGGATTTAACCAATTCATCTCCTTCAGTTTTGGCCATGAAATTAGACCAGCAGCGTGATAAATCCAGTCTCTCTCTTCTTGGAATTTATGGGGGTAGACCTTCAGTTCTGACTCACTAGTAGTACTAGTACTAGTAGGAGCCGCATCAGACCTCCGTTTTCCGGGAGAGCTTCTGAAAATAGGTGATAACCCGCCGGGACACCTAGTAGATGCAACAGAAGCAGCAACTGCACTGCTGGCATGCAACCGGAGAAGATGTCACAGCATCAGATGTCACAGCAACAGATGTCACAGCAGCAGATGTCACAGCAGCAGATGTCACAGCAGGAGATGTCACAGCAGCAGATGTCACAGCGACAGATGTCACAGCAGCACTGGTCACAGCAGCAGATGTCACTGCAGCAGATGTCACAGCATCAGATCTCACAGCAGCAGATCTCACAGCAACAGATATCACAGCATCAGATGTCACAGCAGCAGATGTCACAGCAGGAGATGTCACAGCAGCAGATGTCACAGCAGCAGATGTCACAGCAACAGATGTCACAGCAGCACTGGTCACAGCAGCAGATGTCACAGCAGCAAATGTCACACCATCAGATCTCACAGCAGCAGATCTCACAGCAACAGATGTCACAGCATCAGATGTCACACCAGCAGACGGCACAGTAGTAGACGGCACAGCAGCAGACGTCACTACAGCCACAACCACAGCCACAGCTACAGTTACAGCCAGAGCTACAGGTTCAGCCAGAGCAGCTACCACCACACCGGATCCAGCAGCTCTCCTCTCAGCTACAGCCGCTGCTTCGGCCGCATTTGCCGCAAGCACTAGAACAGGATGAGGCTGCCACTGGTGCAGGGCCATCAGGGCCATTGGGGTCATTAGAGCCATTAACGCGTGGAACCAGGCGCACCAGATTGCCACAGAGCCGCAACTACAACCAGCCAGGGCGGTACCAGGGAGTTCGGAAGCGGGGGGAGTTACGTTACATTGCAGAGATCAAAGATACCAATAGCGGGGTCCGCCAGTGGTTGGGTACGTTCCGTTCTGCAGAGGACGCTGCTAGGGCGTTTGATGAAGCTGCTCTGAAAATCCGAGGAGCAAAGGCGAAGCTTAACTTCCCAGGACGGTATCTTCAGAAAGGGGGAGGGGCAGTAGCACTGGGCTCGGATCATGCTGCCTCATTGGGTGCAGCAACTAGGATGGAAGCAGCAGGAAGGATTGCAGGGCAGGATGATGGAGAGACTGGCATGTTAGTGCAATCACATGGGGTAGTAACGCAGGTTACGGAGGGCAGTAGTGCTAGGAGCTGTGGAGGGAAAGGGAAGGAGGTAGGATATGGTGAAGAATCTGCATCAGGGGGATTGGTGGGAGTAGGTGTGGGTCAGACGAGGCAGAGAGAGGGAAGACATGGGGAAGTAACAGCGGCCTTTGCGGTGCCTCACAGGCCGTTTGGAGAGGGATCAAGTAGAGAAGTAGCAGCGAGCTTTGCGGCACCTCGGAGGCCGTTTGGAGAGGGATCAAGTAGGGCTGTGACATAATCAATAGACGATGCACGTGCAGGATCAGGGGCCATGGGGAGGGATTCATCTGCACTGGTTGGAGGGGAATGCGGAGGAGGAGAAAGAGGAAGAGGAAGAGGAAGAGGAAGAGGAAGAGGAAGGGGAAGAGGAAGAGGACGTGGGAGGGGAGGAGTAAGTGGAAGAACAGGAGAGGGGGGGAGAGGAGGAGGAGAAGGAGGAGGAGGAGGAGGAGGAGGAGGAGGAGGAGGAGGAGGAGGAGGAGGAGGAGGAGGAGGAGGAGGAGGAGAAGGAGGAGGAGGAGGAGGAGGAGGAGGAGGAGGAGGAGGAGGAGGAGGAGGAGGAGGAGGAGGAGGAGGAGGAGGAGGAGGAGGAGGAGGAGGCGGAGGCGAAGGCGGAGGAGGAGGAGAAGCATTACTAGCAGCAGAAACATCAGCAGGCAGTGATAGTGGGAGCAAAGCAGGAGTATACATTCCTGAAAGAAGCTCCACTGTAAGCGGTAGTGACTCAAGCTTAGCCGCCCCTTCCTCCTCCTCCGCCCCTTCCACCTCTGCCAATTCCGCCTCTGTCTCTGCCCTCCCATCCACCTTTGTTGATATCTCAGTCCCTGAAGCTGCACACACCAGTGGCGTTCATATCCATGCCACTCTCCCCACTCACACCTCAAAATGCAACCCAGTGTTTATTGGTCCCACCCTGAATTGCCACTCAGCCCTACTGGCGGAGATGCCTAGTGCGATGATAACTGGACTGGGGATTTTGGGATTGGACCCACTGGGAGCAGATCTGGCCAGGTTTGAGGAGATGAATTTTGAGATGGAATTTGAGGGTTTGGCAGATGGTGAGGGGGAGTGGAGCTCTTTACTTGCAGAGCAGTTTGCACAGCAGCTGGGGGAAATTGACGAAACCGATGGGGCTGGGGGGAGTGGGGTTGGTGCTGCAAAAAGCAAGGAGTGGGTGGAAGGCAAGGAGGGAGTGGAAGGCAAGGAGGGAGTGGAAGAATGGGAGATGCTTTGAGATGAAGAAAGCAGTGGAAGCAGAGAGACTTCAGATGGGGAACGGGCAATGGAGGAAGGCGGAGCAATGGAGGAGGAAGAGGGTGCGATGGAGACATGGACGGGAATAGACGAGCGTTTAACGTTGGAAATGGGGCCGCCTGATCGATACTTCCAGCTGCCCAGCGACAAGGATGTTCCTCACGATCTGCCCAGACTGCCCAGACTGCCCAGACTGCACCATCTGATCCATCATCCTCCCAATGGCACCAGCCAGGTCAACGGGGAGAATGGGGCGAGCAGGGTCAAGCGGTCTGAGGGGCAGGTGTGGCGGTGGGTGTGGCAGCAGCAGGACCATCCGGCCATCTAGGCGTGGAGCAGATGCGTACTCCAGTAGAAACCTCAGCACTGGCAGCGGGGCTGCACACAGTGACAGGGGAGGATGCATTGGCAAGGCAGCAAGCATTGGCTAAGCCGCAATCAGCAGGGCTGCCAGTCCCAAGCGAGCCACGAGCCGCTTCATGGGGTTTCAGTGTAGAAGTGTCCGAGGGATTAATGGCGCCTGGTGGGGATAGTTTTCTGCAAGAAGCGAAGGAGGAGGTGGAGGTACCCTGCATGACAGGTTCAGCTTCAAGCTTGCCTTCAAGTTGGCATGCTGAAACGATGCAGTATGCGCATGCCATGATGCCTCCTTTTGGGCCGTTTCAAGGGCATGATCCCAGCGCGCAGATCATCAGCGCGTGGCATAATCCCAGCGCGCAGTGTGCTTTTACCATGACCCGCACATCATCAGTTGTTGTGATTCCGGACGTACGTCAACATCACAAGAGCCAGCAGCAGCAGCAGCAGCAGCAGCAGCAGCAGCATCACCAGAACCCGCAGCAGCAGCAGCAGCAACAGTAGCAGCATCACCAGAACCCGTAGCAGCAGTGGCAGCAGCAGCAGCAGCTGGGACAGGAACAACAGCAGGGACACCAGCATGAGCAGCACCATCGGGAGCAACAGCAGCTGCATGCATCTAGCTTCCCAAGACGCAACTCTCTCAATCTCAGCACTGGCAATAGAGGTAAGGCAGCTGCACAGTGTGCTTCGACCGACCTTTTACACCCTAGACGTTTGGAAGCATTATCCGTGGAAGAGTGGAGGGAGCAGCAGATGTTTGGAAGCCACACCCTAGACTCGGAAAGAGACAACATAAATTTCCATCCTTACAGTCCTTGGACCGAGCCTCAACCCAAGCCTGATCCCAAACCTCCATCCGGACCTGTACCTCTGATGCTCCGTAGCCACACTGTATGTTCTCCGCTGGAGCCACCGGTGGTCGGATTTTCAACCCCTAAGTCCCAGCCTTGTGTGGGAAACACAGGTAGTGTGAGTGGTGTGAGTGGTGTGAGTGGTACAAATGGTGCTGATGTTGCTGATGGTATGGTTGTTGCTGGTCCAATGGATGGTGTAGCTGCTGCAGCTGCCAATGTGGGTAGTAGGAATGGCTTGGATACCCCAGTAAATGTCTCTGCCGGTGTGGCTGCCAATGTGGGGAGTGGGTATGGGGTGGATATTGCCGTGACGCCTACTGCCTGTGTTGCTGGTGACGCTGATGGTGCTAAACCTGTTATTGATGTGGATGGTATGGCTGGTGTGGCTGGTGTTGCTGGTGTTTCTGGTGCTGCTATTGTTGCTGGTCTTTCTGGTATTGCTGCCGCGCCTGGGGTGGCTGGGCTGACATCCTCTCCAGACTGCTCTCCCAAACCAATCTCGACCATCCCTCGGCGCAGGGTGAGGCGATCCCAGTCCCATGACCAGGAACCAATGGGAGCTGGGCAGCTGGGTAGGCAACTGCTGCGTGCGTCTACATTCAAGCCAATAATTCCAGCCAGCAAGTACGCGCAGGAGCTGCACAAACGACTAGAGAAGCAGCCTTGGATGCGCGCCAGGAGGCCCAGAGAAGGGGTGTTTCAGCAGAGGCGGATGGGGGGGCAGCAGAGGTTGTTGCTGGATGAAATGCAGATGGCACAGCAGCAGCATCAGCAACAGCAGATGCAGCAGCAACAGCAGATGCAGCAGCAACAGCAGATGCAGCAGCAATAGCAGATGTAGCAGCAGCAGCATCATCATCAGCAACAACAGATGCAGCAGCAGCAGCAGCAGCAGCAGCATCAGCAACAACAGATGCAGCAGCAGCAGCAGCATCAGCAACAACAGATGCAGCAGCAGCAGCAGCAGCATCAGTAACAGCAGTCAATGCAGTGGTATTCTTCAATTCAGCAGCAGCAATTGAAGTTGATGCACCAGCAAGAGGAGCTGCAACTGCTGCAGCAGTACCAGGAGCAGCTCACTCGTTTCCAGCACCATCTGCTCTTCCGCAGTCAGTCCACTCCCCCCACGACACATGCTGCCCTCACCTCCTCTGCAATGACCTCTACTGTCATCACTACTGGTGGTGGCATCGCTCCTGGGGCAACTGCTGGCACTGCTGCTGGCACTGCTGCTGGTGGTATTGCCTCTGATGCTGTAGTCAGAGCAAGTGCTGCCACCGCTGCTGGCACTGCTGCAGCCACCGGTGGTGGTGGTGTTGCCTCTGGTGCTGTTGCCACAGCTGGTGCTGCCACGGCTGCTGGCACTGCTGATGGTGTTGCCTCTGGTGCTGTTGCCACAGCTGGTGCTGCCACCGCTGCAAGCACTGCTGCAGCCACTAGTGGTGGTGGTGTTGCCTCTGGTGCTGTTGCCACAGCAGGTGCTGTCGCCACAGCAGGTGCTGGTGATGCAGTCTTGCACTCGCACCATGTGCTTCTTTCCCCCGCCTCTCCACCCACCACCTTGCATGGATACAGCCACACAGAGACGTGAGGTGTTGATGCCTTGGAGCATCATGCCTTTAAGGAAATCAATGGCTACGAGACTGGCGGTGCTGGCAGCAGTGAAGGAGATGTTGTAATGCAAGAGAATGCGACAAAGGCCTTCAGGCCTGCATACAATGCTGGTGCTGCCGCCGACCAGTCCTGTGGCGACGAGCCGAGTGGTGACCAGGCGGGTGGTGACCAGTTGTGTTCTGCCCAGCAGCATGTCATCTCAGGCTTGAGTCTTCCTCTTCCTCACCCCTCAGCCAACTTGTCGCTCCTGAGAGACACGGAACACTCTGCTCTTGCTGCTCGGGGCCTCATCTCCCCATCATCTCGCATCCAGAAGACAGCCTGTAACAACTTCAAGAATCATGTCGATGCTGCCCCCTTTACAGAACATTTAGGAGTCACGAGAGGAGGTTTGGAGGTTGGAGGACAGGCTACAGGTACAGGAGGGTTGTCGTACATCAACTGCCAGACAGGCTACACAAGGAATTTCGAGCATGAAGCATCAACGACCCCTGGTGCTGAAACCTACACCGTTGATGCACTAGAGAGGTTCTTGATGGATCATGGGGAGCATAGGGAATATGAGTAGGGGTGAATTACATGTATTTTCCTCTTCTTTTTAATCAATAGGCATTTTTTTGTTGTCATTGATTTGTACTGTTTTGTGTGTGTGTGTGTGACTGAGTGTGTGACTGTGAGTGAGTGAGTGTGTGAGTGTCTGTGTGCGTGTGTGTGTGTGTGTGTGTGTGTGTGTGTGTGTGTGTGCGTATGCGTGCGTGCGTGTGCGTGTGTGTGTGTGTGTGTGCGTGCGTGTATGTGTGTGTGTGTGGATGCATGTGTGCGTGTGCGCATAGGAAATGACCATTGGAAAGGTATGATGGGCACCCGGGAGCGAAGGCAGCTACCACCGGATGCTCTTGGTGTGTGGAGTGCGTGAATGGGATTGCGTCTGCATGGTGGGGTGTGGTGTGGTGGGGCATGGTGGGGTGTGGTGGGCGTGGTGGGGGGAGGTAGCGAGAGCAGCAGAGCTGGTGAAAGAGGGGCTGGGGTAGGGGGATGGGGAAGGGGACATGGGGAATGCGAACTGCGGAGGACTGCGGAGGGGAAAGCGCAATGGGGATTGAGAAAGGGAAAATGGCAATTGCGGAAGGGGACAAGGGAAGGAGGAATCGGAATTCGGGGAAGGGGGAAAGAGAAAGGTCAGAAGGAAGGGAAAATGGGGAAGGGGAAAAAGGGAAGGGGAAACTGGGCAGTGGGCATGGGGAAGGGGGAATAGGAAGCAGAACTAAGAAAGTACGCATGTCATGTGATGGCATGGGATGGGATGATGGCTTGGGATGATGGCATGGGATGGCATGGGAAGGCATGGGTCATGGGATGATAATGGCATACCAAACAGCATTGGTGCCTGATGCTCTTGTTGCTGTCATCCCCCCTGCACTTGTGTGCACACATGGGGGGAGGGACGCACAGGGGGAGGAACACACAGGGGGAGCATATATAGAGGGAAGCACACACAGGGGGGGACACACACAGGGGGGGGCACACACAAGGGTGACACACACAGGGGGGGACACACACAGGGGGGGACACATACAGGGGGGGGCACACACAGGGGGGGACACATACAGGGGGGGACACACACAGGGGGGGACACACACAGGGGGGGACACATACAGGGGGGGGCACACACAGGGAGGGACACATACAGGGGGGGACACACACAGGGGGGGACACACACAGGGGGGGACACACACAGGGGGGGACACACACAGGGGGGGGCACACACAGGGGGGGGCACACACAAGGGGGGACACACACAGGGGGGGTCACACACAGGGGGGGACACACACAGGGGGGGAAACACACAGGGGGGGGCACACACAGGGGGGAGCATATATGGAGGGAAGCACACATCGGATTGGCATGATGCAAAATAAAGAATGTGAGTCGCTTGAAGCTTCCACGTCGCGCTCACGCGGTGACCACCACGACTTGGTGTGGTATGGCATGGCATGGTGTGGTGCCATGAGTAGCACGAAGTGACTTCTGAGTCGAGAAAAATGAGGTGACTTTTGAGGGGACTCAAAAGAGCTTCCACATTGCATTCACATGATGGCATGGTGGCATGCACAGCGCCACAAAGTGCTGCATGCATTTATTTTTCATTTTGGAATGCAATTGACGATCCTAACCACGCACCTATGGTGCATTCCGAGCCTACTACTCACGCACCTAAGCCCTGGAGGAGGGGCAGAGGAGGAGGAGGCAACGAGTAGCCCACATATCTCCCTATGTCTTCCCATTACCGGAAAATCCCACGCATATTCCCATTATTCAAACATCTAACGCGTATTCCCATTATTCAAACATCTAACGCGTATTCCCATTATTCGAGCATCCCACGCATATGCGCATTCTTCAAGCATCCTCCGTATACTCCCAGTATTCAAGCATCCCACCGTTATGTTCGTCGTCACGCTTGCGTCGCCCACGATGGATCGCAGGAACGTCGCAGAGGCTCGACATTCGCGGAGTTTTCGATAACTCGCAACAGCGTCGCTACCGTCGCTTCTCCCAGCAGCACACGCCGGGCCGCTTCTGCGACCTATCCTCCTGGTGACGTCAATTTCGTCGCAATTGCACCATCGCCGCGATTCCCGGTGGTCGATTCCTAGAGAGCCGCCAAGAATGAAAGAAATAGCCGAACTTCCAGGAAGGAAGGACCAAACGACGGAGGGCCTTTGTGGCTAGCAGTGAGGCTGGGATCAACAAATAACGCGAAGATGCTCACGCCCGGCGCGTTGGAAAAACCATGCTGAAGCGCAACGAGCGGAACTTCATGATGACTCCTAGATACTGAGGGCTGCACAGGCGGAGTCTAAATGGACAATGTCTGGTATTTCCCAATGCTATCTTGTCAGATCCTCGATGGATGTTCTTGATGGAATGACTCGGTTCGTATGGAAGTAAAATGTAACGTGTACATCATCTGTCATTTAAGGGGGAGTCCAGCTCGTACATTTACTGTTCGTAAACCCCCTCAGTTACCACATTTTTTGTGGTAACCCTTTTTTGAACGTGTCCAGCGGACACAATCAGCTTCTGTTCGCAAGACGACACGCCCCATGCACGTACCTAGAGTCGTCTAACTCACGTTACTAGGATTAGCAGGGACGCGAACAAGGGTACAGCACCGCGTCCTGGCCACTACAGTTTGTTTCCCTTGTATCGCTTGCACGATTTCGTCAGTGGTTCGCTCTGCTCGCCAGCGCCCCCTGCGCCTGCACAAAAATTTTCAAGCTATGATTGACGAGGGAAACTGTTACCTCGTTTTCAACGTTGTCAGAGCACTGTTGATTCGTGTGGCGGGGAATGTGTGCGCGCTTCTGAAATTACAGGATGGTTGGACTCCACTCACAATGCATTCGTTTCTAGGTACGGTAGTCACTTTTGAACCTCGATACGTGCGTTGGCACGAAAAATCCCACAATGAACGAACTGGACACACCCTAACCCTTGCAAACTTCGTCAATGTACACGAACTGTATACATCGGAGTACAGTAGTACACTTGCATTGGCGAAAAACTAAGCCGGCGAGGCTTGAGGGCGCGTTTCTATCCCGTGTCAGACGTGAGGTCAAAGCTTCGGAAGACACAAATTGACTCGGTTCGTGTCTTCCGAACCTAAATTTGCCAGCATTCCGAGTCCCTTTGGGTCTTCCCAACCTCAACTTCGTGTCTGACTTCGTGTCTGACACGGGATAGAAACACACCCTGAGCCTGCGGTGCATCCTAACATTATCCATGTGACATTCGCCACATGAAATTTAGGGTTTTGAGTTTAGCACGCACTGTTACTGAACTTCTTCGCTCCTAGTGTAGCTACAGTGCTTATGGCGCACTGTTACCGCTCCGTTTTCGCTCACAACGCAGAGTTAGCTCCTTTCAACGCACTTTTGATTTCATTGGTCCACACATGGCATATAACTTCAAACCGAACCTGTGGATACTGTCACAGAAAACAGCAACTACTTTGATTTGTTTTTAGTGCTAAAACTTTTACATACCCCTTTAAAAGAGGTAACTACCATAAACACCTTCCGAATGGCGTTTAGGGTTGATGCTCTATCGAGACCAGCCGTCGAGAAAATACACTCGTTGGGAAGGTCATCATTCCTAAACACCTTGTCTCCCGGTGTTTAGGGTTGATGTCTCCCTCTAAAAACATGCCACCCGATAGGGTTTAATTTTTTAATGCCCGAAATGCTTTCGTTTGACGGTTCTGTGGCCGCCAACCAAAGAAGAGTAATCGGCCCGTCAAGTCTACGACCAATGAAAGCAAAACTGCGTTGAAAGGAGCTAATTCTGCGTTGTGAGCGTAAAATGGGCAGTAACAGTGCGCCAGAAGCCTTGTAGATGCACGGGGAGAAAATATGATAAGTAACAGTGCGTGCGCAACTCAAAACCCTGAAATTTACGAGCGTCGAGCGTGTACAGTACACGTCAATGCTGACTTCCTCTTGGCGCGTCGATAGTGTTGAAAACTGTGTACTTCCACGTCATGACTGATGCCGGTCCCGTGCGTACTGACATCCGGATTGAACAAACACGGTCTAGGTCGGTAAGTGCTGTTTCAGAATGGTTTATTTATCCGACACTAATAGGACACGATCAGCCTGCTAGTTACGCACGGTTCAGGGGGTGTAGTCTCCATTTCCCGCAGTTTCAACAAGGTTGCTGGAGGAGCACTGTCCAGTGGACAGTGTCCCCTGCTGAGCCGATTCCAAATCAGGTGGAGTGGAACGCCCCGAAACCACAAAAAGGTCAGGCCAAGCCGAACGCGCAGAACACGCAAAACCAAGCCAATAACATCACGCCACAAAGGCATCGCCCTGTCAGCAGCGCATTTCATGGCACACATATTGCAAACAACGCGCGAAACCTCTACCCTGAGAAATCAATCAGCTTCTCCAATGTCTGCAGTTCTGATTCGTCACGAGATTTTAACGGGCTTTCGTCAGTATTTGTCGACTCTATGCGACATTGGCGAATCTGGATACCGCAAAGTGTAATCGAATTCCGCATGAAATAAAACCCTGAAACGTCTCCGTGACGTGACGGCAAAAACTGTACGTGTACAGCACAAGTGTAGAACCAGTGGGAGAGCCTAGCCACTTGCAGCGTTACATATGTGCGTGCATCTGAAACCCTGATCCGTGCCCGTGACGGGAAAGTAAAAGAACTGCATCCAACCGATGGGATTGGCTGGCAACTTTGTCCCATCACCAAGGTTCCACTTCCACTCAGACCAGTGGTAAACTCAAAAACCAAAGATCACATAACCAGAGCTCATTTTGAAGTGGAGCAACAGAAACAAGTTGGGATAAGCAGCAACCCATACTTGTCCAGCCCATTCTACAGAGCTCCAACTTGGAGTTGTGCTAGTACAAGAGGTGCTTGGCTTCTAATAGTCACTACAGTCGTCTGTTCCAGCCACAGAGCACAGCAGGACTAGAAGTTGGAACTCATGTCAGACTGTTTCGGCAAGTTAGGCTGCATTGCTTCAAACCTGCAAATTTTGGATTCCACGCGGAGTTATTCAATAATGCCTTCAATAATTTCTGTTTGAAACCTGCACAGCAGGAAGTTCCTGCTAGTAGCAGAACTGGTAGATTAGGGCAACTTATCAATCTAGCCTCGTCCTTGCAAACCGGCTTCCAACAGCACAAGTGGTGCGCGGAGCTAGCAGCAGCATCGTTGGCTTCAAAATCGACTGGCCTTCAAAATCATACACATCTAACTGCGGCAATTGTTGTTGGTGTTGTTGTTGTTGTTGTTGGTTTTTTTTTTTTTTTTTTTTTTTTTTTTTTTTTTTCGGTTGTTTGTCTTAGTACATCTAGTAGATGTCACAGAAGCAGATTCTACCGCAGCAATTTCAAGAGCAGCAGATGCAACCGGAGCAGATATCATAGCAACAGATGCCACAGCAGATGTCACAGCTGTAGTAGATGTCACAGCTGGAGATGGCACTGCAGGAGAAGCCAAAGCATCATATGTCACAGCAGCTGCTGCTACAGCAGCAGATGCCACAGCAGAAGATCTCACAATAACAGATGCCACAGCAACAGATCTCACTGTCACAGCAGCAGATGTCACAGCAGCATATGTCACAGCAACAGATGCAACAGGAGCAGATGTTGCAGCAGCAGATGTTACAGCAGCAGATGCCACAGCAACAGGTCTCCCTGTCACAGCAGCAGTTCTCACAACAGCAGTTATCACAGCAACTGTTCTCACATCAGCAGTTCTCACAGCAACAGTTCTCACAGCAGCAGGTGTCGCAGCAGCAGATGCAGGAGCAAAACTACACAAAGATGCTGCTACAGCCACAGCCACAGCCACAGCCACAGCCACAGCCATTGCCACAGCTACAAGCTCAACCAATGCAGCTACCACCACACCAGATACAGCAGCTCTCATCACAACTACAGCCACTGCTACAGCCAAAATTGCAGCAAGGACAAGTAGAACAAGGTGAGGCTGCAACTGGCGCAAGGTCATCAGGGCGAGCAGCTAGTCGCACCAGATTGCCGCGCAGCCACAACTACAACCAGCCAGGGCAGTACCGGGGAGTGCGGAAGCGAGGAGAGTTTCGTTACATTGCGGAGATTAAAGACACCAATACCAGGGTCCGCAAGTGGTTGGGCACGTTCCCTTCTGCAGAGGAGGCCGCTCGCGCGTTTGATGAAGCTGCTTTCAAAATCCGAGGAGCAAAGGCGAAGCTTAACTTCCCAGGAAGGTTTCTTCAGAAAGGGGGAGGGGCAGTGGTACTGAGTTCGGATCCTGCAGCCTCATTGGGTGCAGCAACTAGGATTGAAACAGCAGGAAGGGTTGCAGGGCAGGAGGGTGGAGAGACTGGCATGGGAGTGCAATCACATGGGGTAGTAACGCATGTTACGGAGGGCAGTAGTGCTAGGAGCTATGGGAGCAAAGGGAAGGAGGTAGTAAATGGTGAAGACACTGCAGCAGGGGGATTGGTGGGAGAAGGTGTGGGTCAGACGATGCAGAGAGAGGGAAGAGCTAGACAAGTGGAAGCGGCCTTTGCGGTGCCTCACAGGCCGTTCGGAATGGGATCAAGTGAGGAAGTAGCAGCGAGCTTTGCGGAACCTCGGAGGCCGTTTGGAGAGGGATCAAGTAGGGCTGTGACAGAATCAATAGACGATGCAGGTGCAGGATCAGAGGCCATAAAGCTAGTGTCAGCCGCACTGGTAGGAGGGGAAGGAGGAGGGGGAGGAGGAGGAGGAGGAGGAGGAGGGGAGGAGGAGGAGGAGGAGGAGGAGGAGGAGGAGGAGGAGGAGGAGGAGGAGGAGGAGGACGGGGAAGAGAAGGAGTCATAGGATTAGGAGCAGACACATCAGCAGGCAGTGATAGCGGGAGCAAAGCAGGAGGAGTATACATTCCTGAAAGAAGCTCCACTGTAAGCAGTAGTAGCTCGAGCTTTGCCGCCCCTTCCTCCTCCTCCGCCCCTTCCATATCTGTGAATTCCACCTCTGCCAGTTCTGCCTCTGCCTCCTCCGCCTCTCTCTCTGCCCTCCCATCCACCTTTGCTGATATTTCCATCCCTGAAGCTGCACTCACCAGCAGTCGTCTCCATGCCATCCCCCCCACTCACACCTCAGAAGACAATCCTGTGTTTAGTAACGCAACCATGGATCGCCTCTCAATACTGCCAGGGAATCTGCCAAGTGCCGCGGTGATTGGAAAGGGGTTGCTTGGACATGAAGCACTTGGAGCAGATCTGGGCAGGTTTGAGGAGATGGTGTTTGAGGAGATGGGGTTTGATGAAATGGGGTTTGAGGAGATGGGGTTTGAAGGCTTGACAGAAGGTGAGAGGGAGTGGACCTCTGATCTTGCGGAGCAGTTTGCTCAGCAGCTGGGGCGGATAGAAGAAACCGATGGGGCTGGAGGGATTGGGGTTGGTGTTACAGCAGGGAGGGAGGGAGTGGAAGAACGGGAGATGACTTCAGAGGAAGAAAGCAGTGGAAGCAGAGAGACTGCTGGTGGGGAAGGAGTGATGGAGGAGGAAGGAGGCGCAGGGGAGACGAGGACGGGAACGGATGAGCGTTTGGCGATGGAAATGGGGCCTTCTGATCGATACTTCCAGCTGCCTAGCTCTGAGGATTCGCCTCACGAAAGCAGACAGCAAGGAGGCGGGACAATCTCTGTGGGTGAAAAAGGCCGTGGCGGTCAACAGGGTCAACAGGGCGGAGGGGCAGGTGTGGTGGTGGGTGTGGCAGCAGGGGCAGGGGGTTCATCCTCTCATGCAGGCACGGAGCAGAGTCTTTCTCCAGTACGAACCACAGCACAGGCAGCAGGGCAGCACGCATTGCCAGCAGGGCAGCACGCAGTAACAGGGGCACAAGTGTTGGAAGGGCAGCAAGCGTTGGCTAGGCCGCAAACAGCAGGGCTGCCAGTCCCAAGCGAACTACAAACGGTTTCATGGGGTTTCAGTGTGGATGTGTCTGGGGGATTCATGACCCCTGGTGAGGATGGTTCTCTGAAAGAAGCGAAGGAGGAGGTGGAGGTTCCCAGCATGGCAGGTTCGGCTTCAAGTGTGCTTCCTAGCTGGCATGCTGATATGATGCAGTATGCTGCTGGCATGATGTCCGCGTTTGCGCCGTATCAGAGGGATGATCATGGCATGCGGTATGCTTTTACCATGTCCCGCAGATCTTCAGTGGTTGTGATTCCACACGTGCATCAGCAGCAGCAGAACCAGCAGCAGCAGTGGCAGCGGCAGCAGCAGGGACAGGAGGAACAGCAGGGGCAGCGGCATGAGCATCAACATGGGGAGCAACAGTGGCAGCAGCAGCAGCAGCAGCAGCAGCAGCAGCAGGGGCAGGGGCAACAGGAGGGGCGCCAACAGTGGCAGCAGCAGCAGCGGCAGCAGGAGAATGAGGGACAGGGGCAGCCGCAGGGACAGGACCAACAGCAGGCGCTGACGCAGTGGCAGCAGCGCCGGCAGCAGCAGCATGCATCGAGCTTCTCGCGACGCAGCTCTCTCAATCTGAAGGCTGGAAGTAGGGGCAAGGCAGCTGTAGACCTCATATGTGAAGCGTTACCCGTAGAAGAGTGGATAGAGCAGCAGGCGTTTAGAAGCCACACCCCAGACTTGGAAAAAGGCGCCCCGATCTCCAAGCTTTCCAGCCCTCCTTGGTCTGAACCTCAGCCCAAGACTCATTTCAAGCATCGTTCCAAACCTGCACCTCTGGTGCCTCGGAGCTACACTGTATCTTTCCCCTTGGAGCCACCTGTCATCAGTACTTCAGCCCCTGATACCCTGCCATGTGTGGGCAACATAGGTGGTGTGGGTGGTGGGAGCGGTGCTAGTGGTGCTGGCATTGCTGGTGGTGTGGTTGGTGTCGGTCCATTGGATGGTGTCCCTGCTGCTGATGCTGGCACCAATGTGGCTAGTGGGAATGGCTTGAATACTACCAGTGCTGCCGGTGTTGCTGGTGGCGCTGCTGGTGTTGCACCTGTTGCTGGTGTGGCTGGTGTCTCTGGTGTTGCTGCTCGTCCTGATGTGTCGGCGTTGGCACCCTCCCCAGCCACCTCTTTTGAGCCGAATTCAACTATCCCTGTGCACAGGGTGAGGCGATCACAGTCCCATGATCAGAGACCAATGGGAGCTGGACAGCTGGGCGGGCAACTCTTGCGCACGTCAACATTCCAGCCGATAGTTCCGGCCAGCAAGTATGTTCAAGAGCTCCAAAGAACGATCAAGAAGCCGCCTTGGTTACCGGCCAGGAGGTACGGACGAGAGGTGTTGCAGCATGGACGGTTGGAGAGGCAGCAGGGGTCGTCTTTGGATGATAATTGGATGGCACAGCAGCAGCAGCAGCAGCAGCAGCAGCAGCAGCAGCAGCAGCAGCAGCAGCAGCAGCAGCAGCAGCAGCAGCAGCAGAAGCTGTCGAATTCAATTCAGCAGCAGCAATTGCAGTCGGTGCACCAGCAAGAGGAGCTGGAACTGCTGCAGCAGCATCAAGAGCAGCTCCCTCTCTTCCATCATCATTTGCCCTTCCGCAGTCAGTCCACTCCCCCCATGACACCTGCTGCTCTCACCTCCTCTGCTCTGACCTCTACGGCAGGGGTTTCTGGTGACGTTGCTTCTGGCGCTTCTGCTGGCACTGCTACTGGCGCTGCTGCTGCCACTGGCGCTGGTGATGTTGCTTCTGTCACTGCTGCCAGAACTGGTGCTGGTGTTGCAGTCCCCCACCCACACCGTCTCCCACCTTCCCTTACAGGGATCTCCCTGGAGCAAGATGCCTCAAAGGGAACCAGCAGCTACGGGACAGGTGGTGGAACCCTTAACCCTGGTAGCAGTGGTGGAGATGTAGAAATGCAAGAACCTGCAAAAGAGGACTTCAGGCCTGCATACAATGCTCGTGATACTGACCAGCCTACTGCTGGTCAGCTTTCTCATCCTCACCCCTCAGCCAACCTGTTGCTCCTGAGGGACACGGAACACTCTTCACTTGCTGCCTGGGGCCTCACCTCTTCATCTTCTCACATCCACGGTGCAGCCTGTCACAGCTTCGAGAATCATGTCAATTCGGTCCCCTTAATGGAGCAGTTGGGAGTCAACCGAGTAGGTTTTGAGGTTGGGGGACATGGGATTGATGCAGGAGAGTTGTATACAGGGGAATTTGAGCATGAAGCATCGCCTACCCCTGGTGCTGGGACCTACACCATTGATGCACTCGAGAGGTTCTTGATGGATAATGGGGACCCTAGGGAATAAGGACAAAGTTGATCTTCATGTATTTAGCTCCTATTTATATTCGGTAGGCATATATTTGTTTGTTTGTTAAGCGTGCTCATGTTTTTGTGTGTGTGTGTGTGTGTGTGTGTGTGTGTATGTGTGTGTGTGTGTGTGTGTGTGTGTGTGTGTGTGTGTGTGTGTGTATGTATGTGTATATATGTGTGTGCGTGTTTGTGTGTGTATGTATGTATGCATATATGTATGTATGGTGTGTATGTGTGCGTGTATATGTGTGTGTGCATGTGTGTGGTGCGTGTGTGTGTGTGTGCGCGCGCGCGGGCACATATAGGAAATGACAACAAAGAGAGTGATGGCCACGCGAGAGTGCACAAAGTGACCATCTGTTGTTCTTGGTAAGTGGAGTGGGTGAATGGGACTGCATCTGGTGTACCATGACTCATCCATGCCAAGCTGCTCCAACACTTGCATGCTGGCAGTGTCCCAACATGTCAATGCATATGATGGGGCAATCATGCCATGTGACCCATGACATCATATTATCATGACCTTATCCAGCCAGTCCATTATCATCCTATCACCCCAGCTTTTAAATAGGAAAGGACGAATTACAGGAGGGGCAGAGGAGACGGAATAGCGGTGGAGGAGGAGGAGGAGGAGGAGGAGGAGGAGGAGGAGGAGGAGGAGGAGGAGGAGGAGGAGGAGGAGGAGGAGGAGGAGGAGGAGGAGGAGGAGGAGTATTTGACAGTTAGGAGCAACGACTGGCTGAACGAGCACAGTAGAGATTGTAGTGAGTTGTCATGGCTGATGAAGTAGCCTTAGCCTTAGTATTCATGGCTAGAGTAGGAAACGTGGGTGGCGAGAGGGTTTCGAGAGGGAAGAGGGGATCCACTAACAACAGTACAAGATATATATGCAAGGGAAGGTGGGGAAAGGGGGTACACCACCAACAGAGAAACTTAATAATACTACTATTCTAGCATGCATTTACACATGAACATAAATTCAACAATGGCCCACACTCACATTGCTAGCCAGAATAGTAATAGCGTGTTCCTACACCTCGCATCAAGGGAACCTCGTATCAGGCTCATTCTGAAAATTCCCATAAACCCAAAATCCTCGCTAGTTTTACCTGGCAAAAAGTACATTATTGATACAAGGTTTCCTGATATGGGGCCGTAGGAACACGCCCTAAGGTGTAGATGCGTATGTGTTACAGATTGATATTTTCCTGATTGAATGAACTGGAAATGAATGTATCTGCATCGAACGGCTCTGTAATCGGGTCCTCATATGTCATGGTCCCTTGCTAAATGTATTTGAAAACCTAAATGGGTATGTCCATTCACAAGGCGAATGTGCAATATGCACATAACGAGAAGTCTCGTAAGATGTTACAATTCCGGTTTGAGGTGAATGCGCGCTTGGTGGTGGCGTTTGTGTGTAAGAACGGTTACCTTCCACTTCACCGCACAACTGTGATCGACTTATTCAAAGTCTACATCCTCCGCGGTTTCAAGCAAGTGTGCGACTTTCCGAACTCCCTGGATCGCTCGCCACGTATGCAACTGAGCCATTCCAAGTGCAACGCGCGAATGACGCGAAGGTCAACCAGGCCCAGCGCCAATCACGCAAATGCCCAACGCGAATCACGCAAAATCCAACCAATGAGAATACACTGTAGGAGCCACACCAAGCCCTTCGCCGTTAGCACATCCCGGCGAGGTTTGTCCTACACTGTAAAATGATTTATCTTTTACTGTACAACCAATTTTTTAAACCCTAAGCCTTCCGCGTGACGGGGAAGTGAAATGGGAGTGTCCAGCACTGTACCTCTGAAACCCTGAACCGTGCGCGTCACGGGGAGGGCAAAAGTACAGTGCAGAATCGAACCAATGGGAGAGACCGGCCCCTTGCCCAGCCGAAGATATTTCCTACTGGTCAACCAGAAGCCCACATAACCAAGAGCCCATTTTGAAGTGGAGCAAAAGACAGAATGTGTAGCCACTGATTCAGTCTCCCAAGTCTAGTACCAGCAGTAGCTAGCTCATTCACTACAGTAGCTATAGTTAGCTAGCTTGCCACGAAGCACCCCATGTCTAGTAATAGTATTACTTAGGCTAAGTCCTGTCCTGGATCGCTGCCAGTGTTGGCAACTGCCAGTGGAACTGTTCGGCGAATTGCCAGTGGCGCCACTAGTACTAGTTCAGACCTGCAATTGCCATCCTGAATTAAGTCCATTCATTCCGCTTGAGACTCTCAGCTGCTACTAGCAGGGACAGCAGGGAGTGACAATTCTACTCTCCCTCCTGGAGACCTTTTGATTTTTTTTTAGCCTCAGTCCTCCAGTAGCATCTGCAACGGTAGCGTTCTGCTGGCTGAGCGATTAGGTGACAGAGCAGCAGACGCCATTCCGGACCAGCAGATTCCAGAGTAGCGGATGCAGCAGCAGCAGATCATGCAACCAGAGCAGATGCAACAACAGGCACGCCAGCAGCAGATGCCACAGCAGCAGATGCCACAGCAGCAGATGCAAGATCAGCAGATGGATCAACAGCAGATGCAACAAATGATGCTGCAGCTGCAGATATCACAGCAGCAGATGCAACAACAGATGCTGCAGCTGCACATGTCACAGCAGCTTGCAGCACGGGCCTATTCTGCGCTGCCACAACTGCCACAGCCACAGCCACAGCTACAGCCTGAGGCTCAGCTACAGTCTCAGCTACAGGCTAAGCCACAGCAACAGGTAAAGGCTCAGCCACAGGTACAGGCTCAACTACAGCCACAGATACAGTCTCAGCTACAAGCTCAGCTACAGTCTCAGCTACAGCCACAGCTACAGGCACAGATACAGGCTCAGCTACAGCCGCAGTTACATGCTCAGCTACAGGCTCAGCAACAGGCTCAGCCAGAGCAGCTACCACCACACCGGATCCAGCAGCTCTCCTATCAGCTACAGCCGCTGCTACAGCCACACTTGTTGCAAGTCCTAGAACAAGGTGAGGCTGCCGCTGGTGCAGGGAAAACAGAGCCATCAGAGCCATCAGGGCCAATAGGGGCATCGAAGCAATCAGGGCCATCAGGGCCACCAGGGTGTTTACCCAGACGCACCAGAATGCCGCGCAGTCACAACTACAACCAGCCAGGGCAGTACCGGGGGGTAAGAAAGCGCGGGGAATTTCGTTACGTTGCAGAGATCAAAGACACCAAGAAAGGGGTCCGCAGGTGGCTGGGCACGTTCCGTTCCGCAGAGGAGGCCGCTCGCGCGTTTGATGAAGCTGCTTTGAATATTCGAGGATCAAAGGCGAAGCTCAACTTCCCAAGGAAGCATATTCAGAAAAGGGGAGGGGTAGTAGGCCCAAATCCTGTAGCAATAGTAGGAGCAACGGCTAGGATGGAAGCAGCAGAAGGGGATGCAGGGGTGGATGGTGGAGGAATGGTTTTGGGAGAGCAGCAACTTGGTGCAGTAAGGCAGGATAGGGAGAGCAGTAGTACTAGGAGCGGGGAAGGGAAAGGGAAGGAGGTAGGATACAGTGAAGACTCGGTGGACGTGGGATTGATGGGAGAGCTTGTGGGTCAGACTTCACAGCAGAGAGAGGGAAAAATCAAGGAAGAAGTAGTGACATTTTCTGTGCCTCAAACGTCGTTTGGAGAGGGAACGAGGAGGGGGTTGGTAGCAGCGAACATCGGGGCGCCTCAAAGGTTGTCTGCAGTGGGAACAGGTGGGACAGCATTTACAAAGAAAACAGGAGCAGAATCAGGGGTTATAGGAACATCATTAGTATCAGCTGCAGGTATGGGACGGGGAGGACGAGGAAGAGGAAGAAGGGGAGGTGCAGGAGGAGGATGTGGAGGAGGAGGAGGAGGAGGAGGAGGAGGAGGAGGAGGAGGAGGAGGAGGAGGAGGAGGAGGAGGAGGAGGAGGAGGAGGTGTAGGAGGAGGTGTAGGAGGAGGTGTAGGAGGAGGTGTAGGAGGAGGTGTAGGAGGAGGTGTAGGAGGAGGTGTAGGAGGAGGTGTAGGAGGAGGAGGAGGAGGAGGAGGAGGAGGAGGAGGAGGAGGAGGAGGAGGAGGAGGTGTAGGAGGAGGTGTAGGAGGAGGTGTAGGAGGAGGTGTAGGAGGAGGTGTAGGAGGAGGTGTAGGAGGAGGTGTAGGAGGAGGTGTAGGAGGAGGAGGAGGAGGAGGAGGAGGAGGAGGAGGAGGAGGAGGAGGAGGAGGAGGAGGAGGAGGAGGAGGAGGAGGAGGTGTAGGAAGAGGTGTAGGAAGAGAAGGAGTAGTAGGCTTTGCAGCAGAAACGTCAGCAGGCAGTGGTAACGGGAGCAAAGGTGGAGGAGGATACATTGCAGAAGGGAGATCCACTGTAAGCGGTAGTAGCTCGAGCTTAGCCGCCCCTTCCTCCTCCTCCGCCCCTTCCACCTCTGCCAATTCTGCCTCTGCCTCCTCCGCCACTGTCCATGCCCTGCAATCCACATTTGCTGATATCTCAGCCCCAGAAGCTGCTCCCACCACCGGCAACCCAACGTTTAGAAGCGCTGCGATGAATCGGCACATATTTCATCCGGAGAAGCTGCCAAGTGCTATAGTAACTGGACAGGGGATGCAGGGATTCACTGCACTGGGAGCAGATCTGGAACGGTTTGGTGGGCTGGGATTGGAGGAGGTGGGATTTGAGGGCTTGACGGAAGGAGAGAGGGAGTTGTTCTCTGAACTTGCGGAGCAGTTTTCTCAGCAGCTGGGGGGGATTGAAGAAACCAAAGGGGTTGGAGGGAGTGGGGTTGGTACTGCGAAAGGCAAGGAGGCAGTGGAAGAATGGGAGGCGTCTCCAGGGGAAGAAAGCAGTGGGAGCCGAGAAACTAGTGACGGGGAAGGGGTGATGGAGGAGGACGGTGCGATGGAGGCGAAGATGGGAATGGATGAGCATTTGGCTGGCCTTGTTTCCCATGATAGTGGGGTGAAACTGATGGTGGGAGCGGGAGCCGCCATCCCGATAGATGTGGCATCTGATCAGCACTACCGACTGCCTTGCACCAAGGATGCAGCTCACGACAGCAATCGTCCGAATCAAGGATTGCCGAAGCAGAGAGGCGTAGGGATGGAGATGCAGCAGGGAGGCTACACTATCTCTGCGGGCGAGAATGGTAATGGTATCTACATGACGGCAACGCAGCCAAGCCAGCCGACCATGCCAGTGACAAGCATGTCTGCACAAGGAGCCACGTCTGCAGCATTGGGTCCATCCTCCTCCCAATTGCACCAGCCTGGTCAACAGGGTCAATGGGGTCAACAGGGCCAGCAGGGACAACCGGCACAATGGGGTCAACGGGGTCAACAGGGTCAACAGGGTCAACGGTGCCGAGGGGCAGGTGTGGTGGTAGGTGCAGCAGCAGTGGGTCCTTCCGGTCATGAAGTATGGCCCTCAGAACTGGCAGACAGGCAGCAGGCTTTGGCTGCAGCGCAGCACGCACTGACAGGGGGACAGGCAGGGCAACATGCGTTGTCCTGGCAGCAAAGAGCAGGGCAACATGCAGTGATTGGGGATCAAGCGTTGGCAGCAGGCCAACGTGTGCTGGCTTGGGAGAAAACAGCAGGGATGCCAGTCCCAGCATACTTGGTTACACGGGCGTCAAGCGAGCCACAAGCGGTTTCATGGGGTTTCAGCATGGAAGTGGCTGGGGGTGTGATGACGCATAGTGAGCAATATTCACTGCAAGAAGTAGAGGAGGAAGTGGAGGTAAACAACCGCATGGTGACCTCAGCTCCAAGCATGCTTCCAAGTTGGCATGATGAAATGATGCAGCATGCGCCTGCCATGG